TCGAAATATTCATTCCCGACCCTATAAAGTATATATATTCTTGATCAGGGTAAAATTCTAAGACGATCTAGCCATGTCCGTCCGTCTGTTGTAATCACGCTATCTCCTGAAGGAATGGAGATAGGGTGCTGAAATTTTGCATAGGTTTGTTTTTTGTCTGCAGGCAGGTCAAGTTCGATGATGGGATATATCGGTCCACGTTTAGGCATAGCTCCCATATAACAGTACCCCCAATTTTCGGTATTTTGGGGTTCTTTTCAACCGTTTTTCAACCGAATACATTGGGTTCTTATTGGGTACTAAATGTCTCAACAAAAAATTATAAATATAGGTCCACTTTTTCTTGTAGCCCCCATATAACGGTTTCTCCTAATTTTCAGTATTTTGAGGGTTTTAATCATATTTTTCCAACGAATAGGCTGTAATTTAGTATTTTGAGTTCTTAATAGGTACCAAATCTCTCCACAGAAAATTATTAATAAAGGTTCATTTTTTCGGATAGCCCCCGTATAAAGGTACCCCCAATTTTCGGTATTTTGGGGTTCTTGAGCGCGTTTTTTAGCCGAATTCGCTGAAATTTGGTACTTTCAGTTCTTATTAAGTAGCAAATCTCCCCACTAAAAATTATAAATATCGGTCCATATTTTGGGATAGCACCCCTATTAGGGTACACCCCAATTTTCGGTATTTTGGGTGTTTTGGTCGCATTTGTCGACCGAATTGGCTGTAATTTGGTACTTTAAGTTCTTATTGGGTACCAAATCTCCCTACTAAAAATTATAAATATAGGTCCATTTTTTCGGATAACCCCCATATAAGGATACTTCCAATTTTCGGTATTTTGGGGTTCTTGAGCGCGTTTTTCAACCGAATTCGCTGATATTTGGTTTTTTGTAGTCTTATATGGTAACGAATCTCACTACCAAAAAATTTTAATATTCACCCCCTTATTGGGGTCGTCCCCATATAACCCCTTTTTTTGTATTAAAATAGTTATATTCTTTGTTCCGTGTTTGGGTTTGGTTCTAAGACTCTGTTGTAATCATTTAATCTGCTTAAGATACGAAAAAAACTTGAACATAAGTTTCGATAATTAACCTTATATATATATATATATATATATTCATATATATGAAGGAGGTGCCAGAAGGGGTGGACCGATATTCCCCATGTTCGAACATGAAATAGTTTTGGAAGAAATTAAAAGATGGGCAAAGTTGGGATGAAATAAAAATTTTCTGAAACACATTTGGTCCAAAGAAACATGGGGTCTAGGACTAATATTTGGAACCATAATCGGTTTGTAGAAATTTCGGTATAGGTACACTTTTTGGTATGTTCCCTATATTTTTATTTCAAGTACCTGTCAGTATATCTATGGTGTAGGGTATCAAAAGTTCGGCCCGGCCGAACTTAACGCTTTTTCACTTGTTGAATTACACTTTGAAAATGCCAAATTGTTATTATTCAGAATTATTCGCTATATCAAAGATCATGTTGAGTAAAAAAATCGGATGAATATCACTGATACACTCTGATAATCTGTACAAGTTGCTCTCTTCGTAATAAGGTGTGAGTTAATTGAAAACCTAAAACGCATTTTTTGCAAAATCGACTGTTTTGATTTATGCCGGTCTTGCAGCAAATCAGTGATATGTGATGGGAAGACCAATACATTTACACACTAAAGGCAATTATGACGAAAACTTAAATCAGAGTCGAAATTAATTGCGCTGAATTTTAAAATCTAGTCTAATATGTGTAGGGTATCATGTACTAATCGATCCTCTCCAACGTCGTTCTTATTTCTTGTTATATTATTTTTATGTGGGTCACATTATTACTATTCTTTTAGTTTTTCTATTCAAAACTATTCTTATTAAAATCCAATAAATGCCTCAAATATGAATATCAACATATCATCGGAAAATAAACAACAAACAATCGTGGATTTTTTTATCAGTTTTTATTCACGTTTCGTATTTAACACTCTTAATGATGCATTAGTAAAATTTGCATAAATCACTCGATGCTGAATAAAATCTAAATTCATAGAGGAAATAATTCAATAAATGTTGATATATCTCAATAACTATAAAAGTGGCAATTTGCATTTATTTGATTTGGTGAATAACGATACAAAATTAGTCGACCATGATACAAATGTTACAGTTCGAAATTGTGAGGTGACTGGGGCAGACATAGATTATTTTTTGTTAGATTTTAAACAAAATTCTAATACTGTTATTCAGATATTGTGATACTGTTATTCAGATCAATGAGTTTTAGAGAAATATAGAGAGGTATCATTTGTTTTTAGTTTAGTTTTTATATCAGAAGTTATTTAGATTTGTTTTATACATATAAATAAAATATATAAATTATATATCGTACTAGCTGAACGATTGGGGCTTCGCTGCCCACACTAAAGTTATTAACATTGGATAGTTAACGTCGAAATCTCATTGTAGGTATTTCGTAGTGTAATATCAGTAATAATATCGTAGCAGCCGGTCTATGTATTAGTATAATTGATTCTATTCTATAGATTACAAATACATTTTTAAATAATCTTTGAATAACGGTGGTAGTATTAAAAGCAAATTTAGCTTGACTTTTCTAATCAGTTGTAATAGTACCATACACAAATATATTTTCTCCAATATTTACATGTTTCTCATTAATCGTTCCAAGGCCACTAAAATCCTTCATTTACGTTACAGCAATTTTTTATGTCTGTATTCTCAAATAATTCTCCATGATATGATTGGGATTCCTTCCTCACTCCGATTAATATCGCTTATATACAGGGTTGCCCATATTCGACGGACCCATGTTTTTTTTTTTAAATCAAAGAAAAAAAATAAAAATTTGGCGGTTGGCAATGTTAATCATTTAATTTGTTCCAAGTAGATTTGTTTACATCAATTTTTGAATATGATATCTCTCAAACGGCCGCCTCTGGCGTTGATGGCGTATTGCGCCCTTTTTACTGCATTTTCCATCGTTTTTGCCAACATTTCGGCCGGAATAGCGGCTATTTCTTCACGAATGTTGTCCTTGAGCTCTTCTACGGTCCTTGGCTTGTTAACGTAAACCTTTGACTTCAAATTTCCCCACAAGAAGAAGTCAAGCGGCGTCAAATCGATTGTTATGCGACTTGTGTGCGGTGGAGCGCCGTCTTGTTGAAACAAGAACTGCCTCATACGCTTTCGACGAATAATTTTCATCACAAAATTGGTCATCATGTCGCGATAACGCTCCTGATTGATGGTAACAGCATGACCATTTTAATTTTGGAAGAAAAACGGTCCAATGACCGTTTTCGCACTAACGCCGCACCAAACTGTGACTTTTTCGTCATGAAGAGGCACTTCTTGAATCTCCTGAGGATTTTCAGTGGCGTAAAAACGGCAATTTTGCTTATTTACGGCCCCATTCAATGTGAAATGGGCTTCATCGTACATGATAATTTTGTTCCAAAATTGCTCGCCATCTTCGGCCATTTCGATGACTCTTTGGGCCCATTCCAATCGACGAGGCTTGTCCGCAGGCAACATTCTTTGTGTCAATTGAATTTTGTACGGGAACAAATGCAAATCAATGCGAATAATCCGTTGTTTAGTGGACCGAGCCATGCCCAACTGCTGAGAACGGCATTTTTGGGATGTTCTTGGGGACCTCTCAATACTGGCTCGTACGGCAGCGATATTCTCGGCCGATCTCCTTGGTAGACTTTTATATGGCCTCTTCGGATTAGAAAGAGCCTTACCAGTCGAAAATTTTTCGTATATACGCTTAATGGTGTTCTTAGAAGGCGCACTTCTCACATTTTTTAATGTTTTAAAAGCACGTTGAGTTTTCACAATTGACTTCTTCTGTTGAATGTAAATTTCAACTATTTCAGAGCGCTTGCGTGGCTTGTATTGGTTCATGGTAAAAATCTGCTTGGACTGACGCTTCAAACGCGGTGTGTCATTAAGCGATGTGACATCTCTGTCAAAAGTTATGGCGTTGCCAGATGGGTCCGTCGAATATGGGCAACCCTGTATGATCCTTGTTAAGTTTGAGTTGTGTATTTTTAATTTTTTTCACTGGCAAACAAAATTCACAATAATGCATTATCACATCATAATATTTTTACCGAACCTAGATATAGTATTGTTATTCTAAAGAAACCATGATCAAGTCCGAAGATAGGTTTTGTGGCGTTTGAGTAAGTCATTTCCTCTATACATCCTCGAAATATATCACCTATAATGATAAGCCACCACAGATTTCGGACTTTTATAACTTTTATTCCACAATCAGCATTTCTCTCCACAATCAGCATATTTAAGATATTCAAATATATGCATAGAAAATGAATATTAGTTCAGAGGTATGATTACTGTTGATGCTATAACTCCTCGCCATCGCGGAAGTTATAGCATCACGCAAAATTTTGGAAATTTATATAGCCTATATTATTTCCCTCGGATGACATGAATAAGTCTAGAAACAAAACATTCTTTATTTCCTACATGTAGATTTTTTAAATGCAGCGGAGGGTGCATTTCCACCGATCTAATCTCGCTCATATTTTTATGAATAATGTGTATTCACACCTACGATATACAGATAAATTTTGAAGGCGTTATCTGTAACTTTTACTAAGATAAACGCATATTACATGTCCAGAAAATTTGAGGTATGTTTACTATTGATGTTATAACTCCGCATCCACGCGGAATTTTAAAAGTTTATATAGCCTATGTTGCTTTCAGGGCATGCCCCGACATACAGTTTAAATCGCAATAAGATCTGTTCAGCGGTTTTGGTGTCTATCGGTAACATACAAACAAACAAATTGTTTTCCCTTACCTTACGAATGTATTCTCTCTACTTCTTGATTTTTAGTACCCGATATTATTTAGTATTAATTAACTAATTTTGTGTTAAATAAAATAAATATCTATATTATATTTCAGATTAGAAAAAAAATACTATCATATACTCACCCCAGCTATTCGTTTATCTTCAAACGGCACCAGGGTCGGATGATAAATACCATTTGTTAGATCGTCAACACGTGAAATGCCACTCATTAAACGGGCAACCCGTCTACGGGCGTTATCCTCCTCGGAAAAATATTCATATTGATTGTGATTATGATCTTGAAAATATGACTGTTCTTCCGGTATGCCGGTATTTTCGGACCAAGCTGCATCATGTGTGGACGCGGTCTCAGTGGTCTCCATATATTCGATATTATCATCATGTAGATTTATGGGTGGTTGGAATTTAGCCACTTCGTGTTTGAGTATGGAAAATGCCTCTGAAAAAAGGACATTTATGGACATTTTTATTATTTTATGCAATAAATGTAACTTTAATTTAAACATGGCAAATATGGTAACTATCTCAAAAAGAAGAAATTGAATTAAGCTGATACTTTTTCTGTATATAGATTTTATATCCCGATTTTATATCTCTTCTATTCTACTCCCTTTAATGATTATATGGGATATAAAGTAGACATACAAGTTAATGGGAGAGTGGTAAAGAATATATATATATATATATATATGGGCAATATTGCCAATTTTTTAATATTCCATTTTCAAAAAATCAGCTTTTTTGTTTTTGTGGCACATCAATGATTTTTGGTACACATATAGAGAAAAATGTTCTGACTCCGAAACCGTTCGCGATCAAATTTTTGGTTGATGCGCGCAAAAGATATCGAGGTTTTAATTTTGGGCATAAGAAAAAAATCTTAAAATTTTATATTAAATTATATTGACCAAAAACGTTGATATATATCTTCCTCCGTAAAATAAGAATATGAATATATTATAATAATCGCGAAAAAGTTGTACATCTTCGCGAAATATGAGAAAAATAATAAAAATATAGGAGATTACGTCAATATTTTCATTATATTAATGACATACACACACCTAAAAATTAATTTAAAAATATATACATAATCTAAACACCATGGTGAATCAAATGATATCAAAATCACACAAGTCCGTGTAGCGGTTTCTAAATCACAGCGACAACAAAACAACATATTGAGGAAAAATATTTGTTTTTAGTTCGAAAAAATAATGTCATCATATTTATTTTTTTAATTTTTTATACAAGAAAATTCAGAAAAAAATTTTGGGGTTATTCTGCTATTTTACCCGAATTTCGCCGAAAAATTGGCATATATAATAAAAATCACTTTCTGTGTATAAGTATACGCCTTGCGGATTATATCAAGACCCTTCCGATAAATCTTAGAATTCTATAAATAGGAATAAATCTTAAAATAAAATAATATTATGAAATATACATTTTAAATTGCGTCTAATTGCGCATGCGCATCAAATGATTTTGAGAATAACGCAAAATCATTTGATGCGCATGCGGTTTCCAGGAAGTACTGAAGTTTATCTTCCAATCCATATATATTTTGCGAAATTTCATTTGACGGCTAAGATGTGCCGCACGTTACATTGAAGTAGCCAAAAATACCGTAAAACGCGAATAATTTCCGAAAACTCCATATGCCATTAACGCGCATCCGATTTCGGTGTGCACCCTAAAAAAATACATCGATCTATACCGATTTCAATGTGGTCCATTAAGAACCATGGATGTGCCAGAACAATCTATTTTTGAGATAAATTGCGTACATCTCTCTTTCGGCTGAAGTTTTTAAAGTTCTCTTTTCGAAAAAGATCAAAATCCGTATAAGGTCATTTATTGAAGCGGAAATGATACACAGAAAACGCAAATAAATCCGCGATATTTTCAAAAACATTTTTTGCCAAATTTCGTGTTTTGGAAGGTCAGTTCCCGCCGTTCTAGTAGATGGATTTTCACGAAAAAGATTTTATATCATCCGAAACGTAAAAAACCTTATTGATCGCGGGTACCCATATCATTCAGTTGACAGATCTAAAAATTTGACCCGAAAAATAGGTTTTTTAGAAATTTGATCGCACAAAATTCGGACCTTCGGATGAGTATTACTCTGAAGCTGTGCATACTACATACACAAAACACATATCAAATTACGCAGATTCGCGACTACAAATATATTATAATCGATTTTTATAAATTCCTGTTGGCGTATTAAAGCTAGAAGTAACATTAAAAAAACACTCCAAATCGAGCTTCAAAATGTCAGCATCATTTAAAGGGGGATGCAGTTAAAATTTTGAAAAATGATACAAAGGGGGTGTAGGTGTTGGCTTCTAGTTTTATTTTGACACGAAGGCCGTGCAATGAGTGGCTTAGTCACAAATCAATAGAGAACATAAAAAAACTGGTTTGCCTCAACCTGTTTTTACACATTTTTTTACATTAAAGTAGACACAGCTTCCACCAAAATAAAGTTTGGAGGTCAATATCATGAACAGTTTGCAACGACAGATCAATTAACCCAAAACTATTCACTTTTTTTCATATACTTAAGTAGTTCTCGAGTTATAAAGGGGTGAACCTCCGCTTCAGCTATGTTAAAAAATTGGCAATATTGCCCATATATATATATATATATATATATATATTTGTTATGATAAATTATTGCCAAAGATCGTACGGGCAATAATGATTTGGGGAATGGGTATTTAAAGAAATTTGGGGTAACAAGTAGTCTAAAAAAGCTAAATTAAGCCCACTTCGGTCTCAACCTTCAAAATTATCCAAATGTGACGGTATCGTCATATGGATTCTGTTTCAAAAAATGGTCCTATATATATATATATATATATATATCTTTTCAGTAAATTCATATATAATTTCCTTTGCCATACGGTTGGCCATAAGAAGTACTAATATCAACACTTTATGATCGTTCCCTATGTTCGCCTAAAAGTATGCTTTGATTTTGATTTGCCCACTTGCAAATAGACTACGCAACTAACACAAGTCACATCATTTAGAAATGCAGTTTGGAATAATAGAAATCTAGAAAATCCGACAACTTATAACCTCAGCATTAAGGGTAATAAATTGAATATACAATTTGGTAGGATCATAAATGGTGGAGAGGCACGTGGTAGGGCGACGCTGCGATTAAGGAGATATGATGAACTAAACAAGGCCAATATAAATGTTCACGATTTCAAATTTCGACTTGTAACTTTGTATATAAGTATTTGAAGATTTAAAAAATATGAAATTGAATTGATATAATTTTATTTACAAATGCCTTCTACCTGCCTACCTGGCTGGTGCGAAGGATAACTTGCGAAGGGAGTAACCGATTCCATCCAAATATCGTAATATATCTTCCAAATTTAAAGTCCTTTTATTACCTCCCCCACTAAGGGACATCATTTCCAATTTTTATAAATCCAATATTAAGCGAATGGAATGTCCGATTTGATCCAAACTTTGCACATCATAATATCTTTATTTTGGCTACATCAAGTCCGAAAATGGGTTCGTTTCATTGATTATCTCCTTCTGGTACCTCCCCCAACAAGTGCCAAACTTTTTGAAAAACTTTGCAAATCGTAATACTTTTTCAAACATAAATCATGTATGAATATGGGACCCATCGATCCACTCCTTTTGTAGCTCCACCACAAACATTCAAACATATAAAATCGCGTTTTTCTTCGAATTGATTTCACATACATTCATGCTTGTGTTATCATATTCGCGAATCTGTGTGAAAATAGGTCAAAGATATATCGATACGCGAATAATATGCGTATTTTATCCAAAATCGATTGTGGAGGCACATCCGCGGTTCTTAACCGATCCTTTTAAAATAGGTGTCGTTTTGTGTATTTTCATAGGAGATTACTGAAATCAGATGCGCATAAAAATCACATGCACGTTGCGTGATTTTTAGCCATTTTTAGGGGTTTTGCATAGTAAAGTGCATCGAGCGGCACATTTCGGCCGCTAAACGAAACCTCGAAAAATTCATAATTATTGGAAGAGATTGATTCGGTTTATCCGAAAAACGCATGCGCATCAACTCATTTCAACTAATACGCGAATTGCATCCTTTTTAATGTCGATCATTTTCATATACGGTAACTGCAATATATTTGGTCGTTTTTAAAGTCAAAACTCTTAACAATAGAATCTACCGATATTTAACAATCATCTAAAAGAATTTGCAGAAGAAAGCGTGGTATATTTTAGAAGATTAAGGAAAACCCGTATCCTCTTAACCATACTAAAAAAATCGAAAATTCAAAAAACCTTTTTATTTTAATTCAAAAAATAATTTATTTTACTTTCCGATATCTTCATGCTACTATTTGTTTTTCGCGACCATTATACCGTATTTCAATGTGATTTGACAAGTATGCAAATAAAACAAATGTGTTTATCCATTTGTGAAGAAATTCGCGAATTACAACAAATAGGAATTCATTTAATTTATATTTGAAATACAAGATCGCTATAACTTTTGTGCGCAGCATCCGATTTAGTGAACGCGAACAGATTTCGAATCAGCATATTTTTCTTAACCTATGTACCAAAAATCATGAATGTGCTCGCAAAAAATTTTTTCAAAATTTTTTTAATGGAATTTTAAAAGAATTTTGTAATTTCCCATATACCTTATATAAAGCGAATAATAACAGCCTTACCTAAAATTCAACTAGCTCGTTCGACGTTCTTCACCACAAAAGTAGAACACATGTATTTATATGAATGTTACCAAAATACGTCGAACGTACAAAATTTCAAGTTGAAAATTTTCAACTTTGACAGAACGTATTTTTCATTTTTTTCTTTTGTTGAAAATAAAAACAAATCATTCAGGAAATTTGAAATTTCGAATGGAAACTAAAAAAATGTGGATTAATTTAATAAATTTTCAATTTTGTTTGCGGTTTGCATTATTTGCTTGAAGAGATGGATTCGACGTATTTGGGTAATACGGCCGTACACAACATTTTACCATAATGGGGAAGTTGAATATTTTTGTACGCCCCGTCGGATTTTAGGTAACGTTGTAAAATAATGTGTATTAACTCAGTAGACCTACGCAAACCATAAGCGGGTATACATCTCTCGGCAACACCGATCGAAACTTTTTTACTTGTTAGTAGTTTTTTTATATTTAAAGTAAAGGCATTCTTTTCGACGGAGGTCATGATTTCGATCATTGGAACATCCGAAACCAAAAATTCATTACTTGTTCACAAAAAATGGAAATGAAAGTGATTTTTTGAAAAATATCAAATTTTTGCACACAAATCATATTAGAAAATAAGGATTATCCTGGCTATAGGATATACATGATATATTTTCAATAGTTTTTGAGATTCTCCTAATATTAAAGGGACATTGTGGAATTAGTGTAGGTTAAAATTATATAAAAGCTTTTTTACTTGTTAGTAGTTTATATTTAAAGAAAAGGCATTCTTTTCAACGGAGGTCATGGAAAAATGGCGGACCTATGAAAGTGTTTTTTTTAAATGTCAAATTTTTGCACACAAATCATGTTAGAAAATAAGGATTATCTTGGTTATAGAATATACAGGAATAGGATATATTTTCAATAGCTTTTGAGATTTTTACTCCTAATTTTAAAAGGACATTTTGAAATTAGTGTAGGTTAAAATTATATAAAAAGCAAACAAAATAAAAAACAAAAATTCAGAATTTTTAAACCGAAAATGCGAGGTTTTCTTATAGAGGACACTGAACTTCTCTTCTTGATTTCTAAGTTTATTCTAGGATTTCATTCCAAATTTGCATAACATATGATGCGGTATACCGGCCTTTTATTTCTAATATCTCCCCACAAAGGGCCTAAATTTTTAAAACGTAAAATGTTTAGCTATGGAACTATGTATTTAAATTTTGCTTTTGTAATATTCAAACTTTTGTCATTTTTCTTACTCTTTATGTTTGCAACCATTACAAAGCTACATTACATTTATAGTATTATATATTTTAATATTTATAAAAAAAACAATTACCTTGTACCAATTTATTTTTCACTTCATCCTGACACTCCTTTATAAAGGTTTCCACTTTTCTTGCCGTTCGGGGAGGATTTAAGCAGCGTGTTTTCTGCAAAAGGTCAATAACACTTTGATCACAACATTGCAACAAAATGCACATATCCTTTCACTTGGTTTCTGTCATGGTTTATTAAAAACATAAAAAAGAAAGACTTAAGACACAAACACTCCATATACCTTATTATTTGCATCATAATAGTGATATCCTTGTATTTCTATAACATTTATCACCAAGAGTACCACAAACAACTTGGACACTTTCATTGTGGTTGAAAAAAACTAATAAAAAAACCCAACAATGTCACTAATAACAAACGTTATGAATTTCCCGACTGTTACCCAACCGTTGGTAACAACCAATTGTCTGCAAGGTCTTGCCGCAAATGAAAATGAAATTTTTACACATTTTCCTAGTGGATGTTGCAACACCAGTTGTAGTGTTTGGGGATACAATTTTAGTGCCTCCTTGATTGAGAGAAAAAAAAACTAGTTTTTTGTTGTTAATGAAAATCTTAAACTAATATTGCGTAGTAAAATCACATCTGCAGATGTTTGAATATTGAATTGGGTCGCAGTATAGTCATATATATAAATTGAAGCGTTTTTATAAATCAACCACAACAAAGTGAGGACATTTTTTATAAATATGTTATAAAGGAACACAACATGTCGTTTATTAAAAAATTGTGGAATTTAAAAAAAAAATATTTTTTTCCGGGACAACAATATTAAAAGCGGCTTTCAAAGCATGTTTTTTATAGGGACCGTAAAAAGTTGTTTTCATATTTTTTTTTCTTTTACGACCCCCTCTTATACACAATATTATATTTATTATTGCAAGGAATTTCAACGAGAGCTTATAATTGATCACCAATGCTGTAACAGTGCCGATTGTTGTAATTATTGTTGTTCATATTATGTCGTGAGAGATGACAGCAACAACAAAACAAGTTGCATAAAACAAATGTTTGCAGAGAAATTAAAGCATAAGTGTTAGACAATGAACTTGAACTTGTACATAAATACATAGTTCAATGGCAATGTCAAATGAATCCTTAAACTGGTTAATCCAGATGCTTGTCATTAATAATTGAATAATATATTTTGTAGTTTAGGGAATTTTGAACGCATTGATCGAATAAAATACAATCCAAAAATGTGAGAGGTTTAACACTAGAACGCCGAAGGCAGTCATTTTGACCGCTTTCCAATTTCAAGTACAAAAGCAACTGTGCATTTAATGACACTTTTTTTTTAAAATATGGTGACTTTTTGTACCTCATAGAATTACGTTTATTATAAAAAATTCACCAAATTTAAAAAAAGTGTCATTAAATGCACAGTTGCTTTTGTACTTGAAATTGGAAAGCGGTCAAAATGACCGCCTTCGGCGTTCTAGTGTTAATAATCCAAAGTACGGAATGTAACATTAGTATAATACAGTTGGGTACGCTTATTACGAACACAGGTTATAACGAACTTTTCTTATAGCGAACACATTTCACAAAGAGAACTCCAGTTTGTTTTGTGTCCTCTTAAATTAAGTTCAATGTTTTACCAGTTTTGGCGGTTCAGGAAGGGTGTTTGAGTAAAAAGTTGCAAAACTTGTAAAATTAGTATATTCTTTTAGGTTCTGGAACGAACTTATGTATCTTTATAATCCGGATTATAGAGTCAAATAGAGCCAAAAAATCCGGACTATAGAATAAGAAATTAATTGTGAAATGACGTCCGGATTATCGAGATTTTACTGTATATGTAGCCGATTTATAGTGTCAGCATCAGGCGACACAAAGAGTGTTTCTCAAATTTTAATTGCGAAACAGTGTTTTTTACGAATGACGGTCGTGATAACTGAAAAACGAATTATCTATATTTATTTTATTGTGTTCGCTATATTTTATCATTGATATTATGTATTTCTTCAATTACAAAAACAACAACAAGGTTATATCACTTAATTTTCTTTTCATTTAAAACTTCAAAACACTTATATGCTAAGTTACCATGGAGAGGAGTTCCTTTAAAACATTTGTTATTGTACTCGTTTAGTTCAAATTCGTTCATGTCCATATCTTCTTAATTGTAGCGTCGCCATACCATTGGTCTGTTCCAGAACATGTAATAATTGGTCTGTTCCCGTACTGCAAGAATCTACTATTATTTACTACGATAACACTTTCTTCCTTTATGATATCGAAAAAATAGTAAAAACTTGTTGATTCTTGCAGTACGGGAACAGGCCAAATGTACAATTTTTTACTACGATAAAAATAATAAAAATTGGTAGACCCTTGCAGTACAGTAACAGACTACATGTTTAAATTTTCAATTACTTTTATGTGATTTAAAAATTGCATTTTAATAAATATTTTACTGCATTTACATTAGAACTTTTTACCGGGTTAACCTACTTTATGAAGATTTATTTGGCATATATTCAAAGGAATTGAAAATTTAAGCCCACTGGGTTAACCAAATCCGGTTCAATGTAAACGACCTTTTATTAATAAATGTGGGAGGGAAATCTCCTTCCCTTATAATAACAGTATAAAATATGAATTATAACCAAAAATATAGAACATAAACTCCTTTACATTTTAAGCGTCTAAAAACATACACATTTTGTGTATGACAATTCTGTTATTGATAACATACTTCATTCTGCACCACATTTGGATTAAATAGAATATCCACATTAATTAATTTCCACTCAAATAAATTTTCAAATAATTTTTTGTAAATTTCTATGGGAAGATTTTTTTTTTTTTTTTTTTTTGATCAATATTGTCATTAATAATTATAATAATATGTCAGGATATGAATCAGTGAAATTTATGATATATCTTCCCCATAACGAATATTTTTCTCATAAACGGCAATTTTATAGGTTTTAACTGCTACTTCGTTGAAAGTTTCAATATATACAATCAATTATTCTAAGAAAATACGAATTTAAATTAAAAAGGTTTTAACAGACATTTTCATAGCCACCAGCTTTTGCATGTCATTGACGACCCACGCTATGTGCAACCCTGTTTTGTATGTGTGTGCCGATTAACATTTTTATCGGCGTATAAAGTGAACAACAAGCGGCTACGTGTGTAGCATGGCACAATAAATAGGTAGTCCCAAGGTATATTTAAAAAGGTAGCCGCATCGGCCCAACTGTTAGTGCAAATAAATGTCAAAAATGTTGTTGTAGTGTAGAACCAACAAATTAAAAAACAAAATTATAAATGAAAATCTTCGAATTTTGAAGAGCTTGTTTGGCAATTCTTTTTTTAACATTTTCTACAAGAATTTGTGTAAAAAAAAAATCTTATGAATCTGTTTGTTTTGGCAACATATTTTTGACATATCAAAATACAACAACTGATGTTTATTGTAGAAATTCGCCGATGCGGCTACCTTATATATCTACCTTGGGTAGTCCATTTAGCACAGCTGATGTATTGATTAACTGTCAAAATCAAGTAATTTCTACATGATGATCTACAACAACCTTAAAGAAATTTTTTATTTTATATAATTTAATTTGAAAACGAGAAATGAGAATAGTTTATATATAAAATAATACTGCTCATGGTACAGTCGAGTCCGCTTAATTGCAAACTGTTTAAATGAAAACTCGGGTTAATTTAAAAAATTTTTGAATATAATAATTCTTTAAACGGTATTTACATTAGAACTTTTTACCGGGTTTACCTACTCTATGAGGATTTATTTGGCATGTATACAATGGAACTGACAATTGAAACCCACTGGGTTAACGAAATCCGGTACAATGTAAACGTACTATTAGATTTTTTTTTTAATTTTGTACGACTTAATTGAAAATTTGTTTAAATGAAAATCCGATTTATTGAAAACGAAAATGCATACAAAAGTTTATAATTCTTTGAAAACAGCTACGCTTTATTTAAAACAATATGCGTTGCTTTTTGGGCATATTGGCCAATATTTATACCAGTTATTTGCATAAAACCTATATGGTCGGTTCCCGTACTGCAAGAATACATAAAGGAAAATTCGTAGTAGATTCTTGCTGTATGTGAACAGACCAACATAATATAATTTAAGGGAACCACCCCCCCCTTTCTCGATTTTTTATTTTTAAAAATTTAAATGGGCTGGTAAATGAATACCAATGCATGTTATGGTTTGTAACTTTGCATATATATATATATATATTTGAAGATTTAAAAAGGAAGAAAAATAATTTACAAAAAATGTTTGTTGTTGTTTTCTGTGATCAAAGAAAAGTCCTTATTTTTGATGGCGGGCATGATAACTCCTCACTGAAACATCGGAATCCGAAAATTCCAGAGGTGTTAGAAAGCGTACATGTCTGGCTCTCGTATGAACTAGGTTTATTAACTTCACACAACAATTAACAAAATGGCGAAACTTTGAAATTTTTTTTGGAAATCACCTATTTTTGACCACAAACCAAGTTGAAAAATAAGGAAGATCTTCTCCGATTGGCTTTATCTCCTAGTTCAAACGAAAGCTATACACTCCCAGAGAAACGTGTCAAAATTTGGAACCAATTGGATTATTAGCGGGCATGATAACTCCTCACTGACTTCGCACAACAATTAAAAAAATGGCGGAACTTTAATTTTTTTTTGGAAAATCATCTATTTTTTACCACAAACGAAGTTGAAAACTAAGGAAGATCTTCTCTGATTGGCTTTATCGTAGTTCATACGAGAGCCATACACTCCCAGAGAAACGTGTCAAAATTTGGAACCGATTGGATTATTAGTTTTTGAGTAATTGTGCCCGCCATTCGTAAAACACTGCTTCGAGAAAAATGCATTTAAAATTTGAGAATCACTCTTGCCGTCAGTTGATGCTGACACAATGAATCGGCTATGTTTCAAGAGTTCTTGAGATTTTCACTTGAAACTTTGTAGGGACATTCTAGAATTAGAGTAGATTCGAATTAAATCAAAAAAACTTTTGACATCGAGGATGGGGGTGTCAAAATAATAAAGAAATCAAATTTTTTTCTTGTACGTTCATGAAAATTCGTACATTTTGTGAACAAAAATACGCTTGTTACAAAATTAAAAATAGCACAACTCTAATTACTCTCATTTTACCAATGAAAGAAAAAAATCTCATGACGAATGACCATGACAAATAGTGTAAAGTACGTCTTATTAATAATAACGCCGTCAATATAGTCAGTGTGGCTCAGTTCTCTCAGTGCGGTTCACATTTAGTCTCCAATCCCACGGACGTATCTCAGGTAA